CATGGTCATCTTTTCCGCAACTAGGGAAGAGTCGACCAGGAACAAATTCGACGATAGAAGAGGTTGAATCTGGAGAAAGCACACTCAATAGAAGGCGTTTGTGTTGAATGGATCGCGTCTTCTACGCTTTAGAGAATCTGAGAAATCTAGTTTTGTACGCAAGTTCGAAAAGCTGAAAATTGATCGCAATCGTGTTACCAAGACGAAGTCCTAAACTTGAAGCTTCACAGATGAGAATATGCAAAATCTTCGCGCTCCTCGCAGTCAGAGGGTTACACAGTGCACATGGCACCGAAAAGAAGCACGAACAGTACATACCGTATTTCGTAGAAAATGCTGGAATAATTTTGCCTTAACTATACTACGTCCCGCTACAGATTTCCTCACAGTGCGAAGAGGCTCCATTTCATCAAATCATAATCCCAAGTTTGGTACGGCATTGGAGTGACAACGTCCCACTTACTACAAGGCTTTCTATATTGGGTACAGAGCATGTGGATGTATCTCTGCGGTTCTAAGCATGACACTGTGTATAGCTATTGCCTGTCCCTCTTGCTGAACTAGCTAAACCGGAACACAGTTTATCGCATTACATTAACTATATAAAAGTAAGTACATTATAAGCTTCTCTAGGGGACTGCTGAGCATTGATTTCTCAGATTTAAGCTAAGACGAATCTTTCAAACATGCATCTAATAACTGCGAACTGATCTTGTGACACCAGGGGTGATAGTAATCCCCCGAATTTGTCGCAACAAAAACCAACCATGCTCGTGACTACTTCAATCATGGCATGAGCTAGTTATAACGTGGCTTGATGTTTTCAAGTTTGAGGATAGACGCAATACTTGCATCCCGTCCCGTCATCCTCGTTGAACGGAAGTCAGCGGTGCTCATTACCATTGCACTATCTGTACAGCAAATGCTACAGCGCAAAATGAAAGCATTCACCTTTGCAAGAGGTGAACAGTTTGAACTGATCTCGCGACACCAGGTTACCTCAAATGCCGCGTCATTCCTCCCTCCGATACTCAGCCGCGGGAGAGGTTTAAAAATTAAGACGGTCGACTTCCACAGCGACCGACTAATAAAAGAAGGATCTTAAGTGGCCGTAGCTGTTTAAGATGAAATACGTACCAGAAGAATAGTCTTAGAACTAAAGTCTCGCGCTTTCCTTCCTTATCTGTTATACGATTCTTAGAAAGATGTTATAAACCAGTTCATAACATCTTTCTAAGAATCAAGCAAAGCTCAAGACGGTAGATCAGTAAGGGCTTCGATAACAATATGCCGTAAGGAGCATGTGGTGTAGTGGTAAATGTCTGTCAAGTAAACGTAAACCGCACGTTTGTGTCCTGTGTGCGAATATTTGCGTTTAAATTCTTTTCCTCAACGAAAAAACCCAGATCCACTATGAATATGCTATTTTCCCATTTATTTTTGAATTTTCGAATGATGGGTAAAGAACGAAAAGATTCC